AAGATGTGTGGACTTCAACTTCCAGAATTCCCCAGCCAGCATGCTGGCTGGGGAATTCTGGAAATTGAAGTCCACACATCTTAAAGTTGCCAAGTTTGAAAAACACTGGATTAAAGTATATAAATATTTGGTGTTGAATGTGTACTTCTTGAATATATTCTTTGAATGCACTTACTTAGAGAGTGAATACAGTACAGCTTTAGTTACCTTGTATGGACATTAGATTTTATAATTTTGCCAGCATACTGCCGGTGTTTTGAAGGTTTTGCAGATTATTCTACAGTATTGGGTTGGAAAGTTTTTGAGTTACACCCTGAAAAATACAGGTATGTTAAACATACTGTAGAGCTTTTTTCTTGGTGGCAGTGAAATGCTTTGAAGCTAAAATACTTCCTTGTCAGTCACTGAAGCCTTTTTATTTTAAAACATATTTGGTCGTGCTGCTTGACTCCATTCCCATTTTGAGCAAAGAGGGCATATTTGTCCTAAAAAGATGAATGGCTTTTGGTGTGGTATTATTTCTGTCTTTTGAATGTATTTTTATTAAACTAGAATGCTTCACTTTTGTATTATTACAGAAATAGGAACTACAGTCCTTTTGAAATAACTTTTCCAGGAAAAAAACACACACACAGACAGCAGTGTTCAGGTCCTCCTAATTGTCAAACAGGATGTGTTTATTATCTGAGAAATCCTTGGAGAGGCTGTGTTTATCTTCTCTTGCTCATCTCTCGGAGTACAATCCTGTGCAGGACTAACAGGAAAGTGGATATGAAAATGCATCACAGCTTACTTTGTGTTTCAGGGTAAAGACAAAATTCCCTTGGGGCATTCTGATGTTTAAAACCTGAAAAGCTGCCATTCCAGCCTGTCTTGCTCTTCCCCGTTGACTGTGTTCTATTCAAATCAGGACGTTGCATCGTTTGAAACCTCCAAGGATTGCAGTATCTTGGTGAAAATAGTTCCCAAATACATTTTGATGACTAGAAGCATTTTCTTTTGCAAGACTGTAATTGCAGCCTCCTCTTTGCTGCAAGCAGTAGGTAGTGGGCAACTCGCTCCCCAACCCCCTTTTTGTAGCCAATGGAGCCCTATAAGCACAGTTAGGAGAAATTTGCTACTGGGGCAATTTGCTATTATTTTGAATGGAAAACACATGAAATTGTAGCCTGGGCTCTAAAAAAAATTGAGGGGCGCTTGACCACTAAAAGATTGTCCACCTTTACTAAAGGGTTGAAATTATTGTTACCAGTTGTGGAAAGGACATGTGAGATTTTCACCTGGAAAACTACAGACAGCTGTGATTGTATGACTGGCTTACCCATAGTTAACTTAAGTGTTCTGTTAATTCTCATCCATATATTAACAGTTATATTAGAGCATCTGGCCCCACTTGATCACATTTTCTTTGCCAACGATGGAGAACTTGTGATTTTTCCAGATATTGCTGAATTAACACTCCCAGGAGCTCCAGCCAGCATGAGAATGAGGTATTCTGGGAATTGTAGTTCAATGACATCTCAAGAACTACAGGTTTCCCATCCCTTCCCCTACATGAAAGTCAAATTTTCACCTTATCCTGGGGAAAGGCACAGCTGCTTTAAAGAGTCTGGTGCTACATTATCACCCCCACATTCCAAAGCACATTTTTGCTTTTGAGTCCAAAGGGCTGCACAGCTGTAAAAAGTTCATTTAATACTTATTGAAGTTAGTGATATGTAAAATGGGAAAATAGCTATATGATTTCGATATACATAATCCTCTTTTCCCTAGTCCAAGAATTAACTAAGGATAAGAACATATAATAGCTGTCCATCCATTGTACATTTAAGTACTCTGGGATAAATACTACAAAAGTAATCTCTCATTTTGTAGGTTCTAAGTATGCAATCCACATCCTACTGCAACCAGTGGTTAAATTTTCATTGATGTTAATGGCTCCAGATGTTGCCTGAAGCCGCTAAAACTTGAACCTGTCTTAATGGTGACATATGGTGAGTTGCTGTAACCATCTTTGTATCAATTCACTCAGGAGAGGTTGTGTCACTCTTCACAGATGGCTCAGAATGGGCTTCTCTTGGGAGCCATGTGCTTGAACCTCCTTAAGCACCATTAGCTGATTTGTTTTAATTCCTGCTCAGCATCCAGCAAGGGATTTGCAGATCCTTAGGAAACATGTACCTCAAAGAATATGTTGCTGTCAATATGTTGGGTTTTTTTCTAGCAGTCACCTGAATTCTGAGGGGAATGTTGCTTCAGTGCAGAATATAGAAGATAAAATATTTTGTCTTTCCTACTGATAGCTCTGAACAGACGAAGTAAGAGAGTTTCCCAGGATGAAGTTTGACCAAGGGCTTTGCAAATGATTATGTATATTGAAGCATCATACCTACAGATATGATTCCTCTTACCTAGGAAAAATGCTCCAGCTGATTTGCCTTTTAGCTGTTTAGGGAATGCAGATTCTAATGTATTTTTTTCTCTCATTGTTTGCAATTGGGGAGGGGGGTAAAAAAACACACACTCACAGGGAGGCAACAGAAATCCCCCTTACCCATCACTTTTGCCCCACCCATGTCAGTTTAGCAGATCATAGCATCTGATACCAGAATTCCTCCCTAGTTCACATGAAGATAAAGGGAGGGAGGAAGAAACACATCCAGATTTGCAAGATTCTGTTACTATAGCTTTACAATAAAAGTAGTCCTGACCTACACGGCACTGGTTTCTTAGTCTGGTCTACCTTGTTGGCCTGTTAGTAGCTTCCGGATTTTCCTCTCTTGGTCCCTCTCTTAAAAAGAGGCTTTTCTTAATACATCTTTTATTTCAGATATAATGAATACAGGTAGTCCCTGGGTTAAGAATGCCTGGGTTACAGATGACCCGTAGTTAAGAACGGAGCCTACTGTAGCATAATTCGAGTTACATACACGATGGTTTGAGTTAATTACATACTATTACTTTACAGTATTATGCAATAATACTGTTCTGGTTTACATACAAATTCGACTTAAGGACAGACCTTGGGAACAGAACTCGTTCTTAAACATATTAGCATTTTTTGATAGCTCGGCTAAGCTAATAGTCTGCATCCAAGACAACTGTATTATTTTACTTTTTCAATGGGATGCTCTGCTGTTCACTTACTCGGGATTCTTTCAGTGCTTATGTTCAGGAGCACATCCTCTAACAAGCTTCCTGCAGAATTCAGAACTCTGGAACAGTTTGTCTTTGGAACGGAGACTTTCCTTGTTGCAGTTTAGGAGGAGATTTAAAAGGCTTCTTTTAACCTAGAGTTTTTACGGTTTAAGTTTCTTAGATAGGTTTTAGTAATTTGTTCCTTTGAATTTTATTATTGTGAGTCACCTAGAGCCGCAAGTGCAGCCACGAGGCATATAAATTATTACGCTCCATCCTTTTTTGAAACCTATATTTTTGCAGTATATTCATTTGTCCTTAGCAGAGCAAAAATCCAATAAAATTTTGTTTTCTTTTTAAAAGCCAGACATGGATAAATTGTACCTTAATCCCTGCTATTACAAGAAAGTGGACTTTTGTTAATCAGCATGAATCTGCTACATAGTAACAGGAGGAAGGCTGGAAGCAGTAAGGGTCTATTATTTCCAGTGATGCAGACTGAATTTAAGTATGAAAAATGTTCCCCCAGATCCAAATGGTTTCATAAATCTATAAATGTAAGTTCTGATACTGAGAATTTTCAACAGGTCAGTTATTACCATCCAAAAAGTTGCCTCTCAAGGAAAACAGGCTGATACTTTAAACACCATGGGCAACATATTTATTTTCACTGTTTTTATTTACTGAAAACAGAGGGAGGAATAAGGTGGCTTATTGATTTAAATACAAAAGGAAAGTTAAAACTATAACTGCTAGTATTACAAAACTCCTTAAGTCCTTGGGCCTAGTACACCTGATATATGTGTGTATCTTCTCTGCAGAGCTCTAGTAAATTAATCTTAATTGTTACAGAAAAATATGTACTCAGAAAACATTCCAATTTAGGACACTGCATAAACTGTACAACAGACGAGAGTTATTGCTCATCTTGGCTTTCTTGCTGAGGTCATCCTAATTCACTTTAATTGATGAACTTTCTTCCCAAATAAATAGTTTTTAGAGAAAGGAGCATCTTTCACCAGGACTAAAAAGGCAGGAGTCCCTGCTTTTATAAAGTACCTGCAAAATATTATTTAGAAAGTCATGTTCTAGTCTTAGTTACATTATATATAATTATTCAAGAAAATCTAGATTGTTTGAACATGTTTGCTTTATGTAACTTCTTTAATTTCAAAATTGGTAGACACTACTACAATCTCACAGGTTAGATCGACCTTTCCCAACTGGATGGCCTCCAGATTGTGTAGAATTTCAGCTCCCATAAACTCCCATCCCGAAGATGTATGACTGCGTTGATTTCAGCATAATGGGAGCCTAACTACAACACTTCTAAGGGGCATTAGTGTGGGAAAATCTGCTTTTCAACCTGCTCTAGATGTTCAGTCCGCTTTGACAGCGTAGTTCAGAATATAAGCAAGTGGTTCCACCTTTTGGAGGAAACTAATAGGCTATCCCAGGATATAGAGATGTCTCACCTCTTGACAGAAAAGTTATCTATTGGATGAATTAGGTTACAAATCCTATAACCCCCAGCCAGCAGAATGATGGGAGCTACAGTCCAGTATATCTGGAGGGTCCAATAGCTTCATTCAGGTGGAGATTTACCATGTGAAAAGTGAAGAGAGCACTCCTCCCCTATGTAAATCACCTGGGCATGCTAGTCATCCACAAATATAGCATAAATGTCTTCAATGAAAATGTGAGATCACAGGGAAGCATTTGCACGTATAGCCCTTTACCCAAAAGCTTCCTCACTCTAGGCTTGTGTTGGACATCACAATGCAGCTGACAAAGGGAGGGGCTGCTCACCATTCCTTGTGTGGCAAGGTCTACCTACAGAAATTTAAGTAGGCAAAACTATAGGATTCTCTTGGTCTTTTTTTACGTTTGTATCTAATTTGCAACTAAAGACTTGTTGGGAGACCACCCAGCCATTATAGTGCTGTGATATGCAACCATTAAGTCAATACTATGTCCAGAAAACTACAATGAAATAGATTAGCTAAACTGGAGCTGGTACATAGTGTCTAACCTAAGTGAATAACACATGGTCAGTTCTGTACCATTCCTTTACTTTTAATAAGATACTGTTGATAATTCTGTGCTTCTCAACAGTAGGGGTGTTGAATGGCAGTAATTAAAGTGCTCTTACCTGAATAAAATTTTATTATTTTTCTTTTGAAGTCATGACCCTATTCATTCAATATTAGTTCCTTGTCACTTTGAGGGTCAGGATTAACAACATGTTTTTAGTTGTTTTTATGTTTATTTCTAGTTTTGTACGTTGCCCAGTTTGGAGTTGGGTGGCCAATAAACTTAAATAAATAAAAACAAACAAACAAACAAACAGGTCATAGTTCAACATCTCACCTTTTGTGCTGCAGCACTTCTAACAACGTGGTTTCCGTGTTTATCTGGTATATATCTCCTCTTTCTTCATCCTCATAATAAAGCTGTGCATTATAATAGGAGAAACATACGCATTTAACACATGAACAAAACACTTGTTGACATATTCTATAGGTGAGGCAGAAATTACTTGAAAAACTAACAAGCAATTAATCATCTGATAAGACACCAAAGACTTTTAACTATTTTGTTCTGTCACTGGTTGGTCCCTAGTAGTTGATATTGAAGGTAGGCTACCTATGATTCAGGTGGTAACACACAGCCATCAGAATGTAACAGTCTTTGATAGCTCATTCTTCCATGAAGTTGCCCAGATTCCTTTTTAAAATCACCCAAATTTGTGGCTATCACACATCTGATGGCAGAAAATCCCACCCGTTCATTTCCCTGGGAACTTTTTATTTCCTGGAACTTCTCTACTGAAATACATCAAATTCAAAATGAGTTATTTTTTCTAAGGTTAATTTTTTTTTTTGGAAATAAAAGGTATTTATGACAAAGAAGGAATTTTTTAGAAACATTCTATTCACCATATTGGCTTTTCCAAGATTTAATAACTGTTCATGCTATGAAACTGCCCTAGAAGTCTTTATACAAAGTTAATTAACATGCCACATTATTGCTATTTTATAAATTTTTCTCTTTAGGGCCTATCGTGCAATATAACCCTAGAATTTAAAGTATCCCTTCTCTAAAAATCTCAATCTAGAGTAAGCAAGGAATCCAGACAATATAATACATATATACAAATGCAAAGTAATTCTAATGCCATGGTAAATTAATATGACAATATCCTAACCCACATAATAAAGAAGGCTATTATTAGAATATATCTTTAAAAAAAAAAAAAGGTTCAACTACTGACTGTACTTTGTACCTCTAGTTCTTTAGGAATATATTTTCTTTCTATATCCCAGGCAGGTGATTCTTCAAACATGACAACTAAATGGTCAGAAAATCTGAAACACAAAATGCATTAAATTAAAATACTGTTTTAGTCACTAAAAGTGCTCTCCAGTTCAACTTGAATAATGTTTAACAGTGTATGCTTTTAAGCAACATAATTTCATAAAAAGCTGATAACTGGTGCCAAACTCTTCAATATTTTATCACTACTAATTATTTCAGGGAAAGATCAGAATCCCATAATCTTTAATTTGAGATTAAGGCTGTGTTACTAAAGTCAAAAGTATCCTAAGTATCAGAGAAATGGTGGAACTCCTGCATCATCCATCAAAATGAGGTTTCATCTTGGCAGCTTGTTCGGTATGGTGGAAAAGGCTACTGCCTCACCATTTTCTGATAGAAGAGAGCATAAAAACAAGGGAGATTTACAGGATTAAAAGTGCTTCCCTGACATTCCCCAGAATGGAGGAAAAAACTTCACCCTAAAGAACAAAGGTTTTCTCTTCCTGTTGCCCCGAATGACATAATTTATCTTGTTCCAAATGCAACTTTAAACAGACCAAAACACAAACAAACAAAAACCTATGGCTGAAAATGATCCAAGAAAACATTCCATTTTCCCTTTCAGTTTCTCAAGAATGACAGGACTGCTCTGCTCATCAGAACCACTCTATTTCTACAGTATTGTTGTTGAAGTTCTTAGAACCGGTTACATTTGCTATTCCACCATTACTCCCACATGTGTAGCAGGTCAAGCCAGCAGGCATAAGCTCACTCCTCTATGTATCTTTGGAGTAACCACTCAACAGTGTTGGACTGGAAAATACTGTGAATTAATCATACAAACTAGACCTACAACTGAATCTGCTATTTTGTATTTATCCTGTTCTTTGAGAACATTAACCTGGATTCTTCATGAAAAGCAGAGATGAAGTCAGTTTGTCCATGCTCAGGGTACAGGAACAGCACTGGCCAGGTAAGGCTGCCGTTGTCTTCTAGACAGACTTTGGCCCCAATGCTACTTTCCGAGCTAAGTCCATCTAAAGACATCTCCGCGAGGTCTGTAGATATTGCCATCTCATCTTTAGAGGGCACTGGAGACAGTTTGATGTTTCGATCCTATGTCAGAAAAATAAAACAATCCAGCTTGAGGCAAAGACCTAAAACACATCTTGATGTGTTCATATTTCAAGGGTTGCTTTCTTTTCACCACAGCTACCTTAATAGCTTTAAATAAGGCCTCTTTCTGAGACTGTTCCCTCTTCTCCTGAAATTTTGCTTTTCTCAAATCTCGCTCTTCAGTACGCTGCAAGACAAATAAAGTTATGTAGCAATTGTGTAGGGGAGGCCAATGCTTCACCAAACTCTGTATCAGAACAACTGTGTGTTTTATTTTTAATCCTTTCTAACCTTAAATCTGTCTGCTTTTGTTCTTATTTCCAGAAGTTTTTTTTCCTTTGGATCTAATTTCAGACCCTCCTCGCACCATGCCATAGCTTCAGAGAAATGCTTGAGTTCCATATGGCACAGTGCTCCTATAAAATACAACATTTCTTTATAATTGCATTCAATAGCAAACAATATACTCAAGCAGGCCAATGTAGTTATGTTGGTCAGGTTTTTTTTTATGATGGAAGTGCAGTATCAGAAAAAGAAATGATGGGATGAAAAGGCACAATGATTGAGGGGCCAAACCCACTCATCCAAGCCAGAGGGACTATTTTTCATCATTAACCTACCATAAATGATCATGGTTCTATTTGTTTCACCTTCTGCTGATCAGAAATAAGCACAGCCCTTTAAACTGCATTGTTAATATCTGAAAGTTATTAACTTTCCACAAAACAACACATAGCAATTTATAAGTATTTATGCACTATATTTTTTTATGTTGATAACAGAACTCCCTTAATTAATGGAAACTATTATTATACTGCTACAATTGGATATGAAAATAAGAGTGGAGTTTCTTACCCCTTATTATTGCTTTGAGGTGGCTGGGTTTCAGTTTTCTTGCTGCAATAGCATCATTCAGAGCAGAGCGATAGTTACCTAAACAAAATATACCCTGAATTTAAGTTTCACCCGTGCAATGAGATCTTCATTAGGAAAAGTTAAAGCATGCTGCTATAAGACAGATTCAGTATTGGAACACAATCATTTTAATTTATAAGGGCAGAAAAAAATAGAAAGTACTATTAAAAGTAAGATATGGACCCCTCCCCCCAACTACCCATGTTAACGTTGGGGGAAGGTATATTTTGTAAGCCTCGCTTTGATTTTGTAGCAGAAATTCAGGGCCGTTTCTGATGTTTTGATTTTCCACTGTAATACTACAGCCTACTTTACTAAAGCAAGCTGCATTAAAATTTATCCTCTGAAGAGGTAAATGAGTATTAGAACAAATGAAAAAAAGAAACATATTTTGATTTTTTAATCTAGAATCTAGGTATAACTTTGAATATAGCACATTACCCAGATAAAAGTGGGCCGCTGCTCTGTTTGTATGAAGTACAGTATTCAATTCCAGGTCATTACATTTCTTTTTTAGTCCTTCTGTATAAGATATCACAGCCTTCTTATAATCCTTTTCTTTGAAATAATCATTACCTTCATTCTTATAAGTCTTAGATTGCTCTGGTAAGAAAAGCAAACACAACAGACATCACAACTTTTAGAAAGTGCCTGAGTTGGTCCAGCCACCCATGTAGATCCAAAGACACAAATGCTCTGCACTGGCTAAACAATAAAATAGAACACCCATAGTATTCAAATATTATAAATAGTATAAAACAGTACCTTCAGGACTCTGCTCTTCATCAAAAATGATAGACTGAAGGCATGCCAGATCAGGGTTCTGCTTAGGATTTATTTCAGAGGGAGCATCCTTCATGAACATTGGAATCTGATCAAATTCCTATGAACAGGTGCAGGTAATCCAAGGTGCAGGAATGGAAGAAAATAAAGAATTCAAAATTTCTATGTGATTTTGAAAATACACCTTTTATTTGAAATATCTAGATCAGTGTTTCTCAGCCTTGGCAACTTTAAGATGTGTGGACTTCAACTCCCAGAATTCCCCAGCCAGCCATGAGGGTCTATGTGGATGGGGAATTCTGGGAGTTGAAGTCCATACATCTTAAAGTTACCAAGGTTGAGAAACACTGATCTAGAGGAAGGGAAGTTCTGCTTATGCTGAAAATTTTGGGGCCTCCAGATGTTGCAATTCATCCAGCAAGCATGGCCAATACTGTGGGTTTCAATTAAGCAACACCCGGAGGATGATAGGTTTTTCACACCTGGCCTAAGAATTTAAGTATGCACTTGATTTTTTTTAAAAGAAGTTTTATTTATTTGAAGTTTTCAGCTGTCAACTACTTTCTGAATTAGTACAGCCTTTGTTAAGAAATATTACATTTCCTAAAACAACTGTCATGGAGAAAATCTATTTTAAGAGTCAACACCGACTTGCGGCCCCATAATCAATAATCAGTTAAACGAAGCAGGTCTGTGATCAGACTAGCCTGACACGCAAGAGGATGTAATAGGTGGAAAGATGGACCTAAATCCCCACCGAGGCTTCCTGCAGACCGGGTTCGCCGGGCACAGGCCGCTCACACGTCCAATTTGCGGTATTACCAGGAAGAATCGCTGGAGAATTGCATCCCGCCCGTGGCGCCCATGCTGGTTTGGAAGGTTCATCAGAGGGCGGCCTGCCGTGTCCCTATCTCCCAGCCCACTTCACGGGGCTGTTCGGAAGAGTAAAAACGTCGCCTTGAGACCTCCGGAGGAAGAACTGGATAACTCTCTGAGAGAGACGCCGCGAGCGATCCTGTCCCGGATCAACCCCGCAGCGTCGCTGCTCCGGCTCCCGCTCCTTCCAACCCGCTCTGCCCCGCCG